CCATTGTATCACCTGTGTGTGAAGGTAGTTAAAAAAAATGTCCATTCTCTGAAAACTCAGCTCGTTAGGGTGAAGAGCTTAGAGAGATATGTCTTATTTCGAATAACTGTCACACCCAAAAATGGGAGAAAGAAACTGCTTAAGGGTGCTTCTTCAATCTGAGACAGCCTTGTTCCAATGATGAATGGTGTAGCAAGAATGGATTCCAATTTATTTTCATATGCAATAGAACAAATTTACATACCTTTAGCTTTTTTTAACTAATAACTTTATCTTATCGAGGTTGTATTCAATTCGGGGTGAAAAACATTTGAGTGATTTATCTTCATCAAATTATACTCTTCAAATTGTTCCCTCTCTTATGGCCAGTTTCAAATGTATAATTAATGCAAAGTATCTATAAATAGGTGTTTTCATCAGGGTTATATGTAGAAAGCAACCATTTTGACTTTAAAAATAATCAACGGTACAAAAATAAGATGCCTTGTATATAGAAAAATCATATACATGAATGTAACCTCAGAGCTGAGTAGAATAAAAAAAAAAGATGACATAGCACAGGGGCTGAGGAGAATAAAAGAATACAGTGTCATAGAAGATAAGGTGGCTGAGCAGAAAAATTAACAAATGAAAATATGTGCCAAAAACCAAAGGTTCATAGTAGATGTCATAGCACAGGGATAAGCTCACGGCACAAATACAATTTAAATATCAATTGATCTGTTGAACTTCATTTATATTATAGCAAATATCTATGTGATATTTTTACTTTAAATACATTGTTGTCAACATAGTCTTAGTGTTGCAAGTATTGTTTGAATGAACTTTACTGATTAAGTGGTATTCCTTCGTGTATTGTAAATGTATAATTTTAATCCGGCTTTTTGCAGAGGTAAGTGACCATTCAATTTAATAAACCAATTAGGGCTGAAGGTAGCACTTTACTACAATTTCTACCTTCCACTCTTTTCACCGAAATTAAAACTTTAAAAAGGATAAGCCGCTCAGAATTAGTCACGTGACTTTCACATTTTGGGTTAGATGCATTCATGGTTATGAAAACGTTTCAAAGACTAAAAGAACAGTGATGTAACGAACTCTACAGAGGGAAAAATCTTCACGCCAATTAGACGGAGAGGAGAAAACACAAATTCGAAAAACAAGTCCATTTTGTCAGCTCTTGTCCAACAAAGGACAGACTGGATTAAAAGAGATTCAATGGAGTGTCAGTTTTGGTATTAAATAGGGGACCCAGCGAGACTCCAGAATTCGATGGACCCTGATACAAGATCTAGTCGATTGTTATTGTATGTCGCAGTGGGCACCTCCCCGCCTCTCGGCATGCAGTAACAATTGCAAAATTTTCTGCCAAGTGCCCCTTCGTTAAGTCGATTTGAGGGGTATTTTGAAAGAGAGGAGTGTTGAAAGGATTTTCTGAGATTTGTGTCATCCCCATGTATGTAAAGACAAACAGAGCTAAGAGTATCCGTGGTGACCGGAAATATATGTATACCAATATTTCCTTCAATATTCTAGAAGTAAGGAAAGAAAGGGATTTAAGTGATAGAGAAAAAAAATCCAAAATTGATAAATGTTAATTTTTGGTACTTGCATTTTAAATTTTTTTATATTAATAATTTATTTTCAATGTAGGACCAAAAAATCTACAGTTGCAGAATTCTTTCATGATAACATTTCAATTAAATATACAGGGCACAGAAAGAAATTACCATACACGTTTTGAATTATAGTAAACAGAAATTTTAATGGAACGTTAATACGCATAAAACCTTGAATCAGTGTGATCTGAAATAAAAATTTGAATTGTTGAATTTCAATTTTTCTTTCTTAAACGAAGGAAAAACCACAGAATTAAGAATGCAAAATTGCTGTATGGAACGAGAATTGAATAACTCTTGTTTGCTGGTCGTGCAAACAAGTGCCCATGGTACGTTGGCTTGTTCTGAATAACAGAAGGAGGATCAATTTAATGATTTTGAATGTTTAGGGAAAGGAAGAGTAGCTTTACTTGACAATGCAATGCTTACGTGGCTATTAGGCATTGTGTCGCCCAAAACCTTCCCTGGCAGCCTCTCTATTGGAAAAAATCTATTGCCGTGTTTCAATTGAGACGTTGATTTTTCCAATTCAGATGAAAATAAAATATTGGTTGAATAACTTGACAAAACTGAAATTCTAAAGGAGAGAATGGTGTACTTGCTGGTAAGGTTAAATGTTGATTTGTCTGTTTTCTATTCAAGACTGTATGAATCAAAAATCAGTTAAGTACCTTGGGGAGTAACCCCCCACATTATGGAAAATTTGACACGTGGCTAAAAATTGTCAGCTATATGGAAACATTATTTTACATTAAAGATTTTAAAAATGTAACCGATTTCTTATAAGAGTTTTAGAACCCGGCGTTTTTTGGTACTTTGATTTTTTCTTTCTTTCTGCACTGCATAAAAAAATTATATGAATATTTGGTTGGAGACAAAAGTTTTTAAAAAGTTTATATTTACTTTCATAATAACAGGTTAAGGATGTTGTCTATCGTGTGTTTGTTGTGTTGCTCATTACAAATTTATTGCTTCAATCGGTTACTTTTAGATCAACGGTAACCCGGTAATTTGTTTCCAACCCATTTATTTACAGAATTGTAACGACTTGATGTGAGTAACCAACGACTGAGCAGATTTCTATATTGATCTCAGTGTTCAACATTCTCAGTTTCAAGCGATTTTAAAATGCAAAAATTTGGTAATATGTAGTTTTGACAATGCTTCAGTTTGTTAGGAGAGTATTCGTATATCCATTAACTTCTTTGACATCAAAATCCTCATGAATTGTAACTTTTTGATGATTTTTCACTTTTCTGTTATATTGTAATAATTTAATTTACCTAGTTTAAATGCATAAAGAATCTTAAATATGTCAGTAAGAGCACCCCCCCCCCCCCACCACTGCATTTATTTCAAATAAAAAGTACACTTATTTAACATCTGTTAAAAATCTTAAGGAGGTTGGATCCTGACATCAAAAGTAATGAGAATTTTTTGTCAAGTATATTTTTAGAATTTATACACATAGCTTAATTAAAAATCAAAACAAAAAATTGGGGTCAATGCGCTTCTTTTGGCGCTACAGAGCATTTAGTTTGACCTTTTTGCACTGTAAAAACGTCTTACATATAAATCATTTTTTTAAGTTTTTCCTCCGATATTTTTTATTCAAATAAGTTATGGGAACAAACAGTTTTATTTCATCTTAAATAGACCCATTAAAATTTTTGACAACGAAAAATTTTTTTAATTACTCCGCACGTTCAATTATTTGAACTTTTTGCACTCAAAAAATTTCATTTTGCTAGCATTACAAATTTAACAAGCAAAAAACTCATTTAAAAGTAATGACATTTTACTGAATTTAAGAAGAATGGTTAAAAGTATCTTGTATATTCAGAAAAGAAAGTTAAAACTGGGGGTCTGTGATGTTAATTTTTAGATATTACTAAAATAGTGCTAATTTTGAGCTTAAATTAGGGCTATTTTTTTTCTTGATTTTCACAATATATTTGATTTATTTATCAAATATGATGATGGAATTCATGACAGTTTATTAAATATATAATTTAGGACCAGTATAAAACAGTTCACTGCACAAAATAATTCTATGTGCAGACTGCGTGTAAAAATAGGAATCCAAACTTAACATACTCTAAATACTTCGAAAGAGAAAAAATGATCATGTTCTTCTAAAAAACCTTCCGCCACAAAATATAGTTCCTCACTTAATGCATTTAATCATGGAGTTTTAACTGAATATAGTTTATTTGGCATTTTAGAATCCAAATTTATTGTAAGAGTTGAAACATTACGCAGATTTTTTTTAAATATAGGTTAAAATAAAAATCTGCTCAAAAGCTCAGGAGCGAACCTCGTTAAACATTTTAAGGAGGCTCTAAACACCAATTAATGAATGAAAGTGTACATAACGAGTTTATCTAGTTTATTTTCAACATAGGGTACCTGTCATTACTGAACGAAAATCACATTGTTTAAGTACAATGGGAAAATACATGGAAATAATGCATTATTTTATCTTGATCTAATAATTGTTGCTCTTACTTGAGATTTATAGTTATCTGACATCAAAGGGCAGATAACTCTATTCATAAAATCTTATAGAACTCTTCTGTGTGCAGTGTTTAAAGCGTCTTCGGAGTTTTTTTTTTTTTTCGAGTTTTCCCCAGGCAATTAACTTTTGTACCATTAACCAATTTGAAAAATTATTTATTTCTACATATAAGTCTCACAAAGCAGCTTTTATATTCGTCTAGTTTACATACCGTTTACACTATTGTTATCAACTTGCTTAAGGTAGTCCATTCCTCAGATTCTGAAAATCAGCATTAAGTGATTGAAAATGCTCACAAAAATGTCACTGAATTCACAAGGTAATGTGGATATACCCAAGTTATTTCTTGAAAGTTTATCATTACAGTAAATCATATTATATAGGCAAAATTATCAAATCTCAAATATATTTCAAGGAAACTTGAAGAAAATCTCCAACTATGCATTTTTTAATTAAAAAAAATGTCCAACAAGTATATTTTAGAATTTAAAAAAAAACAATTATAGGTATCCAGGCATTCGGGAAAATTTATATGTTTTGGTGCAAATGTCTACTTGTAACAAGACCGTTTTTAAGACTTCAAAGAACCTTGAACCATATTTAGATGCATGAAATAAAATTCTTGCCCAAAAAATTCCAACTTCAAGCTTCATTTTCAGTCTCATGCAATTAAATACTAATTTTAAGAGTTATTGTTCCTTGCTGAGGAGTGGATATCTTTAATCCGTGAACTTTTCGTTCTTTCCTCATTATAGCCCTCAAAAAGTCAGATTTCTTGAATGCTGCAATATCACAGAAATATCTATAACAATCTCATATTATTTTTTTTCAAATTTATTTGTTAATGATTAATTTAACAAGGTTATTGATATATTAACATTAACTCAGTTAATTATACAAAATGACTGAACAAACTCAACAATATAATAATATTATGCACATATTTTAGAGAACTAGTCTTGTACAGCACATACCCGCACAATGTCCTTGATAACATTAAACAATATCTATGAAAACTGCATCAAAGTTTGATGATGCATGGAATTCAAATGAGTACCAAATGAGTTTAGTGACATATGCTCACTAGTTTGTAGTCCATTATTCTGACAGACGATCCACTCGTTCAGGTTTGTTGGCTGTGATGTTGGCAGAGCTGCTGAAGGGTGGACTGGCAAAGTGGGACTAGCATTTGGTGAATGTTTCTGGACAAGATTAAGCTCGCTGAAACAAGACCGGGAATCAGGAATGACTTCTGGCAAGGATGACTGATCGGAGCTGACACTAGGTGGCGTAATTAGATGGCGGGACTTCTCTATGGTCGGGCTCGGGATGCTTTCTGTTCCGATGCTGTGTTCGTCGGATTCATACTCATCTGGAAGTGGGGACATGCTGCCATGGGCTTTCATGTGTTTTCTGAGTGAACTAGGGTGTGTGTAGCTCTTGTCGCAGCCCCGGAACTTGCAAAGGTATGGCTTGTCACTGGTGTGGACATGACTGTGTTTCTTACGGTCGGAACTGTTGGCAAATCGGCGGTCACATCCGGGAAATTCACACTGGAATGGTTTCTCTCCTGAAATGAACATGAAAATGCATTATATGATATGAAAATTTTCTTTATACACATTTTATGTATGGAAAAATGAAAAAGTAAACACTAAAATTGATATTCAAAACTTAAATGAATATACGAAATTTTTTAGACCTATTATTAATATGTCTCTGACTATATAAACAAATGTATGCATGCAATGATAATGCAAGTCAGTCCTTTCATTCTTAATTATAACCTTTTTCAATGTTCTGTGCGTAACATTCAGTATTCTGAAATCTCAACACATTTCCCAAAGAGCTAATGTTATTACAGAAAGAAAAGGAATGGAAAACTCCATATGTATTATGCTGTCTGTCCTTCTTGATTTCTTCATTTACATTCACATTCTGCTATGTTTCTGTTTTATATTTTTCATGTTCGTCTGACTGGTTTGAACAATTATGTATATACATGTATGTTATATTTTACCTCATGTACCAATATATTGGTTCGAGTGATTAAATTAATATTGAACTTAAACTTGATCTTCCATTTTTTTCCTGTAACCTCATAAGCAGCTTTGATAACAATTATCTAGGGAAACTAATAAATTAATAATATGAATTATCATAATAAAACGAGTTAATATTTTTTACATGTCACTGGTATTATTAAAAAAATAAAATATTAGTAAAGTCATACTTCAAGAATGGTGTAATATTTGTACTGTAATAACATGTATTAAATATTAAATCGTTATGTATAAAAACATGATTTCTTTGTTAAATAATTTATTGATTTATTAGAAAAGTTTCTCTAAATGTTAGTCTTACGCATGCAAATCAAACAAAATGTATTCAATTTGTAACTGAATTCACAATTGTTCAATTAAAAAAACTGCGATTCTTTGTGTAACAAATTGAACTTCAAAAATATGAATTCATAAAGCAATGCACAAAATTTCCATTCCGAAAGTTTGTGATTCTTCTTTATGAATTTATATTTAGAACCAGGTTTTGGAAATGTTAACAAAGAACAAAAAAGAAGCTTGGCATACCTGTATGAGTTCTTTTGTGAATTTTGAGATTTTCGCTTCTTGCGAAAACTTTACCACAGCCGGGAAAAGGACATGGGAAGGGTTTTTCTCCTGTGTGGACTCGGATATGGTTAACTAACTTATACTTGGCTTTGAATGGTCGCCCGTTCCTGGAGCATTCCTGCCAAAGACAAGTATGGTCTGCCATCTCTGGTCCCCCAACATGGTCAACAGTGATGTGGTTGACAATTTCATGCATGGTCGTGAACACTTTATTGCAAGGTTTTTTGGGTTCATGTTGGTCTTTCTCTATCCACAGGCACGTGTGTTCCTGCTTAATTGGATGTCTCATGTATCGGAGGAAGGCTCCGGGTCCATGAGACCCAATGTTCATAGAGTTTAGTCCTCCCAGGGAGGGCACATTAAACCCCTGAGGTTGAGGGTAATGTTCAGATCTTTGAGGTACCATGGGGTTATACTGCTCCACACGAGTGTAAACATCAGAGGGTAATCCGAGTCTATTGGACATGTGGTGTCCGGAGGAAAAAGGAGACGAATCCTGAAGTCCGGACAGCAGCATGTGGCTTTCCGAGGGATGAGAGTGGAAGGATCCCGAGGATGTACCGAACATTCCGGAGTGTCCGTTTCCATTTGAATCGTGTCCAGGAATGGTGAGATGATCCGGACGGCGAAGAAACAAGTCCCTGGCTGTGTAACTGTTGACATGATGTGAATGAGGCACTCCGTATCCACTGGAGGGGGCACTGAATTGATGAGATTGGCCTTGAAGGTACCCTACATCGTTCATATGATTTGGGGGGCTCAGTTTCAAGGTCCCGGCACCCAGGTGGGAGCTGGTCTCCAGGAATGAGTTTATCATCCTGTGGAATGATAAACTTCGCAACAAAATAGCTTAATAATGTCCAGTCTTTTTTGAAGTGGTCCTCTGTTGACAAAAAAAATTCTGAAGAAAACTACTGTTTTGTAAACTTCAGTGTCTGCTGAGAGGTAGCGTAAAACTGCTGAGTCGTAGAATAGGTAATATAAATTCCCTCCGAATAATCCTGTCAAAACTCACTAGTCGATCGGAGTTTTCAAAACAATTTTTTTTTCAAGGTCTTAGTTTGCTATCAGTAGAATGAAGTTCACTGTGGGATATCAAAATATTCAGATTCATTTATATCACAGCAAGATATATTCCTCGGATTTGCATGCCAGTTCTTATGATAATATACTGATTGGTTGGTTGCGATAGTTAATTGATATTCCGGTTATCTGATTGGTCAATAGCTCGCATTAATGGTAAGCACCCTAAGTAGGCGTGGCTTAGTATGACACGTCCAGATTATGAATAAACATTTAATCCAAGCCAAGGAGAAAAAAAATGTTCATACTTGATGACACTTCGTTAACTTTTCAATTAATTGAACATTTTTAAATTAGAATTTTAGGTGCCAAATAATAAAAAAATAATGCAAAAGTTTTTTTCTAATGACATTTCGTTGAAATTTATGGAAAGATAAGTTTAAGAACAGTTTCCCCCTTAAACGTCCATTTTGTAAATGAAATAAAAAATGAAGCATATTATTTGTTGATTAATATTATTCCTCTTGAAACATTTGTACCCTTGTCTAGTATGTATACATGTCTGTGTGTAGTTAGGAAATTATGTATCAAATTCAAAGTTATATTTACTTTTTTTCTTTTAACATCGTGGGGTTTGATGTAAATACTTTTTTGGGAACGAAATCAATTATGAATATTACAGAATATATATATAAGTAAAAAGCTATGATCTGGAAGCTTAATTTATTTAATTAAATTTAATCCGTTTCCTTTCAATAATTTACAGTAAATGAAATACAGTAATTTCCTTGTTTAACATGAGCGATATTTTGTGGTAGAAAATAATCAAACTGGTTGAAGGAGATGAAAAAAGAAACATTTTGTTACATGAATATTTTCAATATGAAAGAATCACCGGTAAATGGTTGAACATCTTGAATACTAGATATTTTTATTTTATAAGATGGACCGCCCTTTACTAAAAGAGCAGTTGCAAGAAATGCTGTAGTCTATTTTGATATGTAAAATGTATCTATATATATAAATTGCTCAGTTACTTCAGGTTTACTACACACACAATTTATTTCGGTTATAAAGACGAACGTTGTATAGTTTTGTAAATTTCGAATTTACTTGATGACAGTTTATTACAACATTCACAACATGACAACTTATAAATTTTGTATTTACTGGCAAACAGTAAATAAAATCAAAAGGACAGTCAAATGAACTGTGTTCAAATCTAAGTATAGTACGAAAGGCTTGCAGAAATAACCGTGTTACAAATACGTATACAAGAAAATACTTGAATAAAAATTGTTAGATTAACTTTCGAAAAACAGAACAAAATAATTAATTTCGAAAAATAAGAAAACAGGAAAGAAAAAAGAAATATTGTATAAAGGTTTGCTTGTATTTGGAAAGAGGCAACATTTTGAAAGACAAAAAAAATCTCAAACATCACACATAGAGCGATTCCCTTTATTTTGTTCATTACAGTCATACATTTATATTCTAAGTACCTTTGATGTATTGATAGTGGAAGTTGCTTGTTTTGTTTTATATATCTTCCTTTTGTTTTTTTTTAAGAAATTAATTCTTTCATAGATGCAGTTGTTATAAAATTTGGAATTCACATGCACAATTTTGACTGCATTGGTTTTGAGTGGAACTATATAAGAACTATACATTTTTCGGTAAAACATAAACATTGATAGTGTGGAACATGTGTTGTTCGGGAGGAAAACAAATTCAAATTTGACAGTAAGACAGTACACCTAATAAGTGTCAGCAACAGCGCCACCCAGCGAGCAAATACAGCGTTATCCGATATTTCTTATCTTACAATAATATTATTCAACCGTTAATGAGATTCGTTTGATAGGCAAATCAATGACACTGGTGCAAATACTTTCATAACACCGCATACTTTATTAATTTTCTTCTTTCGGAATGTCAATATTTGCGTATTATCAGATTTATACAGCTTTTGTCAATATGTCTATCTTTTCTTAACGGCATTTAAGATTACGAGTCTCTCCCTCTGTCCTTAATCTTCTTACAACTGTACCACTTGTTTAAACGAAAGTGTAAACCGATAGATTAGGGTTGACCTAAGTCTGATCACCCGTCAACTTTTTTGAATGGGTCATCATTTTGACACACGGCAGTTAAAAAAAATTAATCACTCCTGAAAGAGAAAATTTAGCCCATCTTGTGACAATCTGTCAGACGGATATTAAAATAAATCAGCCTTTATAATGTCCAGAAATGACCATTTATGATGTTTTCCCCATCAAAATAATTTTAAAACTAGTTTATCCCAGCCTTATTTATTTTCAAAACGTAATTATAATTTTAAAATAGATATACGGAAAGAATCTTTGACCGTGGTTATGAATGACACACGTTTCATTGAGAGGCAAAAGCAAAAAATTGACTGTCGAACTCAAACTATCATGCATGCAGTTTTCCATAAATATTTAATGATTTCATGGATACTTTTCGGCAATAATTTGAAAAATGATTTATTATACTGTCGCGGGAACCACAGGAGGTTCTTTGAAAATGAAATTAAATTATTTGATAAAACACCATTTGGAATCTTCAATAATTTTAGGATGAAACCATATTGTTATTTCCTTATTCATATTGACGCTATTTATGCAGATCTTCAAACAGAATTTCTCTGATAAAGTCGACATTTTTTAATTATGTCATTATCATTTTTATAATTAATTTTAAAAAGATATAACACACCAGAATTTTAATAACTGGATCTTTAAAACATTCCCTTCGGAAATATGAATTCAGCATTGAAAAGACCTGTATCAACTCTTAAATTACCCCCCCCCCCCCCAAAGAAAATGTAAAATAATTTTCTCTTAAAAAAATATATATATATATTAAATAAATAAAAAAGAAAAATCAAATTAAATAATTTACTGCTCTTATTAATGCTGAAATCATTTTTTAAAAGAGATGTTGTAAAGATCTATTTATAAAATTTTGGTGTTATACCTCCTTGTGGATTTATTTTGATCAAAATTGATTTGGATGTGATGTCAGTTGTGTGTATATTTATTACATTCTTTATTTAGGGGAGGGGGTGTTCTAAACAGTAGCCAAACTTCCCGCCATAAAAATGTCAGTAACGAGTGGCCAGTGGAATACACACCGGAAACACGTGTCTCTGAAAAGTATTTCCAACTTCTTGTTATTTAATTATCGTGAATAAAAACTATACATAACTTTTTATAACATTGAATTTTTACTTGAATTTTTTTTTTAAAAATCCCTTTCGTAATTCCCAATGTAAGAAAGAATGCCTAAGTGATTTTATTTCATTATATTGAAATCATTATTGATTATCAGTGATCAGCTTGGACACTCGGTAACATGTCAATAATGAACAGTAAAGTTTTCAGTTTAGCTGATCAGCTGATTAATTAAATAATAATTATCAAGCGTTGCAGTTACGAACTGATAATTAATGTAGTGATTGGCAGTAGTTCAACTTTGACAGATTTTTTGTGCCCCAGGAGTGGGGTGGGGTGTACATTTGTAATTTTAATTTCGTATATTTATTCATGTTATATAATACAAAAATCAGCGCAATGTGTTATTTAGTTTATATTTTTTAAATGATAACTTTATTAATTACACACATGTATAGTATTCGGAATTTCAAATTTTCAATGTAGAATATATTAGCATATATAGTATATAAAGAAAAAGTTTTAAACCTTTTAAGATTAAAAACAAGAAGTTGTTTTGTGATTCCTTTCAAAACATATATATCTAACTTGATGTTATACATGAGACAGAATTATCCGCATATAATGTCATGTATAATTTATTATATGAACAACTTTTGAATAACCAGGATTGTAAAAATATTAGCTTGTATCATAAGAAGAAAAAAAAATCGGATACAGTACTAGTGTATGTGTACTTATTTCGTTATAATAGCCAGCCCGACTTGTTCATTTGGATTATGGATTATTAAGAGATTCATATAATTTTTTTTTTAAATAATGAAAAAGCTACTAATCATTCACTATTTGTACATTACAGAATTGATGCAATATATGGGGGATGATTCCTTCACTGATGTACAAAATGCAGAACTTTTCTAAATGAATGTGGACGTTTTTCTAAAAATGACTTAAGAAAATATTTTGTATATTTTAACTAGGAATCTATATTCAGTTTTTAAATTCTATTTGTATATGTAATAGATCATATATATACATGCATTTATATTTTGGCAATTTCACAAAATATTGTTCATTAGGCGAAGACTATTCCAGAACTTGTGTCTGATCCTTTTGACTTTTTTTGTCAATAAAATATGTTCAATTCAGTATATGTATGCGATAAAGGGAACCAACCTTTTAATATTGAGCCTGGAAATGAACTTTTGTTTAAAATAAATATTTATGAATTCCAAAAAAGTAATAAAATTTATTTATTGTACAATAATGCATTTTTAATTGTAAACGTTGATTAGCATATTTAAATTTATAAAAGACATACAGAGAAGGGAGAGGGTATGAACTTATTAACTATAGAATTATAGTCATTGATAATTGAGGGAGATTCTTGGTGAAGGGAAAAGGTTTCAATGAAATATACTATTTGAAAGCTAAAGTCTACAGTAAGAGATAAGAATTTATTTCAATTTATTTATTTATTTTAAATTTATTTATTTATTTATTTATTTTTTGACATAGCTCCCCGATATCCTGTTTAATCCCTATACACGGTAGTCCGTTATGAGAATCGGTAGTCCAGTATATACACGTGTCACCTCCCACCTAATCCCCAACTAACAAACCCCCAACACACAGGAAGTATGTGTCGCTCACGGGGGATTCCGAAATTCGTTTCGAGTTAATTGGATGTTCACAATCGGATATGTATAAGTCCTTATTATTTATTACTTGATACAAAATATTATTTATACTTGTTTTAAAAGTAAATAGACAGGAATACAATTAAATTCTTAGAAAAAAAAATCAAAATTCACAAATATATTCAATGCAAGGTTATTTTAATTCTTTAAAATCTGTCAAAT